AGGCTTCTTATTAAAAAATATATAATTTCAGGGTTTGTGCAAGGCACTTTCCTCCGTCATCACTGCCTCAAGATGGAATTAGAAAATTAAAAAGATAAAGTGCTTCATTCATTTAATAAGTATCCCCCATATTTATTCTGATACTTTCCCATACATGCCACTTTCTTGTGAATAGAGAAGGGCACAGGGATCTGTGGGAATACCTCTAACTGGCCAGGAGTCAGTGACTGATGCCCTGCAGCCAGTGACAGTGCACAGCTCCTCGTGGAGCAGCGCCTTTCATCTCCTTCCTGTGGGAGGCTGCTCTAGGCAAAGGTCTGGGTACCTCGTGAGGAAAGAAGAGGAGGGGGGAGAAGGGGAATGGATTGCATTTAGAATAACTTCAGGGAAAGGAGGGGTGAAATAGCAGCATAGGAGCCATCCTGGTATCAGGTTGTGTCCTGGCTCTTCTGGGACCTTCAGCAGGTGACCGCAGCGTTAGAAGCCTTAGTTTTCTCAGCTGTAACACAGAGGGCCCCTCTCAGAGCTGAGAACTAACTTACCTCTCAGAGGTAAGAATTAAGGGAGATAACAAGGCACACATTTAGCAGAGGTTACTTAACACTTAGGCCTAAGTAAATATTGGCCGTTGTTCTAATAATCAGTATTATTTTTAGGGCCCCTGTGGCACCCATTTTGGGCCTTGTGTGACATTGCGATGGGCTTGAGTAATAGAAATGGGTCAGATTTCAAAACTTACACCCTAAAAAGCCTACAGCAGCACACTTCTAAGCACTAAAGCAGATTCCATTCCTCATCCCATCCAGTCTCCATGTCTTGAGATACTGTGTCCCTGTAGCCTCTCAACTCTAACTCTACTTTTTCACAAGGAAAAGAACAAAACAGAAACAAAAGCAGGAAGCAGTGACAAATAATTGGTGTGGGCCTGGAAAAGAGGGTGCTGTAAGCCTCCTCTAGAAAGATACCTACTGTTCGAGTTTGAACCTTCTACCTGCCTCAGAGGGTTGGAACACTTGCTGTTTGGAGAAGCTTTGGGCAGCCACTCAAGTTGCTGTTTCCAAGTTGAAGAGCTTGCACTGGTGAGGACAGAGAGAGCGCATTACATAGGAAATTTACTTTTTCTTTATTTGCTTTATAACACAGACACAAGGCTGAGGGGAAATAATCAGTTGATCTAATGTTAGGTGCTGGGTTATATGAGAAGTGAAACTCCTGTAAAAACACTTTTAAACTGGCTATATATTTCCTCATCATAGTTCTGACCTTTTTCGCCTTAGACTGATAGAATTATAGTGTTGAGGATGGAGCCAGTGATTGCTCCTGTCCCTCCATCTCTCTGTAAGCAGCAAACAGGCCTGTAGAGAAGGATACAAGGGGCAGAGAAAACATTCCGTTCTTACTGGGGTCCTGGTCGTCACTTGGATCATTCATACTTTAATTTTGTAATTTAATATTGTTTTGTTGTTGTTTGCTTAGTTCAGTTTTATTTTTGAGATTGGCTCTGGCTATGTCCGTGTTGGTCTCAAATCCTTGAGCTGAAGGATCCTCCGGACTCAGCTTCCCGACCGGTAGGAATATAGAGATGGACACACACCACCACATCTGCCTTAGCAGATTTTTTTTGAGTCTTCACTTGTGCTGACAGTACCAGTCATCATATGTGTTATAGTAAACAAACAGATGCAATCACTGCCCTTGTGGAAGTTCAGAGGCTAGTGGGGAAGGCATGTATGAAAGATGAACAGAAATATAAAATCTTAAATTATTGGGTGCTATGAGGGAAATGGCAGGATGTGTGAGAGAGAGTAACTGTGAGAGGGGCTTTTTCCCATAGCATTGTTAGTGATGGCTTTTCTGAATAGGAGCCATATGGGCTGAACTTAAATAATCACAGTAAATAGGAATCCTTACAAGAGTCTTATAGATTTAGTAACCTGCGCAGGACCACACATTAGAGGATGGCCAGGCCTGCAAAAATTAGGAAAGAGCCTCTTAGATACACTGAGTAGCACCTACTGAAGTCTAGAAAGTGAGAGATGCAAGCAAGGGTGCAAGCAAGACACATGGATGTGCACAGTATTTAGGGTAGGTGGTAGGGGCTAATTGTGCAGATGGTATTTTGGTGGCAGTGGAGATGTAGAAAGCTGGGATAATTTTGAATACATGTTTTTCAACTTTTTATTGAGATAAAACATATAAAATTCACATTTTCAACCATTTTAAATATACAATTTTGTTTTTAAATGTATTCATAATATTATAGAACTATTACCATTATCCATTTTCTGTCACCCCCAAAAGAAGCCCCATTCCTTCCAACTCCCCAATGACCCCAGCTGCCAATCACTAGTCTGCTGTCTTTCTCTGTGGACTTGGCTATTGTGCATATTTCAAATACATGGTTCATACCATAGCTGGCCTTTTTTTAAACCATGGTTGATACCATAGCTGGTTTTTCTCTCTTAGCATAATGTTTTCAAGGTTCATCCACATTGCAGCATGTATCTGTTTATTCCTTTTTATGACTAATATTTCATTATATGGACTTCTGTGTACTCATCAGTTAATGGACATTTGAGTTGCTTTCATTCTTTGGCTTTATAGGTGATGCCACTCTGAGTCAGTCATAGGAGTACTTGTAATCCTAACACTTAGGAGAGGCTGAAGCAGGAGAGTCACAAGTTTAGAGTTTGCCTGGGCAATTTAGTGAGGCCTCTTCTTAAGAGTTGTGGAAGTGTAGCCCAGTGAAGAGCATCCCTGAGTTTGACCCCCAGTACTATACACACACCGCCGAAAGCCACTATAAGCATTCTTGTCTAAGTTTTTATGTGGATGTATCTTTTTGAATATATACACTGCAGTGGAATTGCTGAATCATGTGATAACTAATTGGGTTTATTGTCTTAAGAAACCACCAGACTGTTTTTTACACAGTTGATGTACCATTTCAGGTATTTTTGTTGTGTTTTATTGTTTTTGTTTTTGGGGAAGGAGAGGGAGTGATAGCTCATGATTTTAATCTGCATTATGATTAATGATATTTATGTGTTGGCCATTTGTATATCTTATTTGAAGAAAAGTCAGCTCAGTCTTTGCCATTGTTTTAAGGAGATTATCTTCTTACATAATGCGTTGTGAGAGTGTTGAATATGTTGTAGATAGTGGGCTCTTATCAGATACATGATTTGCAGATATGGCCTACCATTCTGTGGGTTATCTTTTCACTTTCTTGATAGTATCTTTTAGTGGCAAAAGTTTTTAATTTTGATGAAGTTTAATATATTCCTTTTGTTGTTTGTTCATTGAATGTCATTTTAAAGATATTATTGCTTAATCCAAAATCATAAGCATTTGTACTTGCTTCCCTCTAAGTTTTATAGTTTACCCTTTCTATTTAACTCTTTGGTGCATCTTGAAATAATATTAATGTGTGCTGTGAACTTTGCATGGGGATACCCAGTTGTCCAGCATCATTTTGTCAAAAGACTGTTCTTCCCATGTCGGAGTGCCTTTTTCAAGTAGACACACTAGAATTTACTGGTGGAGTAGGTAGGTGGTGTGAATGAAAAGGAATCATAATTGGGGAAGGGGGTACTGGGGATGGTACTCAGGGCCTTTGCACTGGGCTACATCCCAGCCTTTCCTATTTCAAAACAAGGCCTCACTAAATCGCTCTGTTTCCTAAGTTGAGCTTGAATTTGTGATCCTCCTGGCTCCCAGGATGTGGGATTCTAGGCCTGTGGCACCAGGTCCAGCACAAGTCGTGATTAATGTTAACTCAAGCAACTGGTGCAGTGGTGGAAGCACTTATTGGAATTAGGGAACCATTGTGACTTGAGGTGGTGAGATGAGGGACAGTGAAATGCTCCAGTCTGATCTTGCTGCCTATGACACTTTTCCACGTAGTGCGTAGTGCTGTTTTGAGGCAAGAAAGAAGACTGAGAACCAAGAAAACTAAGCTCAAGCCCTCAGCAAAGGAATGCCCAGAAGTTTGATGCATAACAGAAACAATCAGGGAGGGAGAGGTTAGTATAGGTACATATTTTAGCTTCAGAAAAGAGCAGTTTTCATAAGAAAGGGAAAGAGAGTTTGGAAGTGTTAGTGGAGACAGGAATACCCGCTTCATCTCCTGGCCAGGAGACTTGGGGATCATAAAAAGGGGGGGGGGGAATAAAAGGAAAGCTGGGTATGGTGGCACACCTGTGACCCCAGCTACTTGGAAGGCTGAGGCAGGAGGATTAGAAATTTGAGGCTAGCCCAGGCAACCTAATAGCACTTACCTCTTAAAAAAAGAATCAAAAGGGAAAAGGTCTTGCTTTGAGAAGCAGCAGAGAAAATAGTATATAAATTGTCAATAAATAGCAAGTTTTGATTAAGCCACAAGGATAGAGGCAGTTTTAGATTGATGGGCATCTGCAGGAGCTTCAGTGGGCAGAAGGGGAGATACAGCAGGGGTGTGTAGAACAGTGTGGGATGGATAAGGGTGGGAGACCGAGAACTCGTGCACTTGTGTGGCCCTAAAGTTGGTTGATATCCTGCAAAAAGGACCTAGCCTTAGCAGTCTTTGGAAAAGCAAGTACCTGGGTCCATTGCAAATGCTTCCCCAGTGACCGTGGTACCCACAGGCACTTATCTCAGCCTCTCAAGGAAGGATCTGGCCATTTCCAGTGTGGACAGGTCTTGCCTTGACTTCCACAGTGTCTCACTGAGTTAGGAGCAAAGCCAATCTCCTGACACGCAGCGTCAACTATGCTCACTACTCTTCCTTGTCCATATCAGTTGTAGTGCTCATTTACCTTCTTGCTGGCAGAGCTGGATCCATTGGTCCATCAGAATATGAAAATGAAAGGAAGAAAAGAAAAATGGTCTTGCAAACCATTCCAGGCTCAGCAGGTCTGTGCAGAAGGGATGAGCACTGGTGATGCATCCCCAGGCCGGGAGAGCAGGGCGGCTTGACTATGGCTGTGTGCTTTCCTCTCATGCATGTGCTCTGTCCACAGGGTCATGTAGGCACAACTGCGACCAAGAAGATCGATGTCTACCTCCCTCTGCACTCGAGCCAGGACAGACTGCTGCCCATGACCGTGGTGACAATGGCCAGTGCCAGGGTGCAGGACCTCATTGGGCTCATCTGTTGGCAGTATACAAGCGAAGGACGGGAGCCGAAGCTCAAGTAATCCTTTCTCTTTTTGGCTACTCTAGTTTCTGTTGGCCTCCTGGACACCAGAGTTCCGTTCTTGGCCCAGTCGGTCTTTCTAAGAGGTTTTGTCCTGGAAACCAGATCTCTGCACCGACCCAGCTCATGGTGCTCAACAGATCTTGGACCTGTATAGCTCAGGCTCACTTCACAGAATCTGCCTGCAGAGTGAACTTACAAGGTTAGGGATCAAGGTGTGAGAAGATGAATTTTAATGATTTCCAGGCCCTTTTTATGATACTTGTTGGTAAAAGTACCACAGGAGGTTAAGGGGAAGGAGCTGACGTTTGTTGAGGACCTACCATGAGCTGGCACTGGCTAAGCATCCCACACCTGGTATCTCATTTGATTCTCCCAGCTCCCTGTTAATTGTGTGTTGTGATCCTCTGTGTACAGAGGTAACTGCTCAGGATCAAAAGGTGGTTACTTGCCGAAAGTTATAGCCAGGGGAGATGTCTGATGCCATGGTTGTTGCACTATTTCGTTCTGCTGTCTATAGCATTTTGGTCTGGATTTTAGTTTTATTATCTGTCAGTTAGTAAAGTTTTCTCTCAATCATTAGGCTTTAGTCCCCATAAACAGTTTTATTAAGAATGTTGTGTTTGCAAGCAGGATCTCTATGCCTGTACATTCTACTTTGAACTTTGAACACGTTCATGATGGCCATAATTCATATGTCTTGCTATTGAGCAGCTCTGATTTCAGTGTTCCCATGGCTTGAACCACTGATAGTATATGCATGACTGTCCCATCAAGTGACCTTTTATTTTGTTAATAAAAAGATTGTGAAAAGTGATTAGATCCATTTGTACCACCAGAGGTACAAGCCACCCAATGGGACATTCATGCAGGTGCTACCCGTGAGTTAAGTCTGCGGAAACTTGTCAGCGTGCTTTGCTGCACTGTCTCTTCCCTACTAGGATTTCTTTCCTAAGAGGCATCCTCTTGAGTTCTCCATACTCTTTCCGGTAGTTCAGTGTGGAATCCATTTGGAAGATGGATTCTCAAGGAAACTTACTCTTGGCCTCTTCTGTTTTCAGAAGTGACATGACCTGGTCAGCTCTAGTTTATCTTCTTTAGGTATATTAAATTTGCACATAAAATTATGCCTTCGAGTTCTTACTGACATTGTGCTCCATTTTTCCTGAATAAATGTCTGTGCACAAATCAGGCCTTTTCAACCAAGTTACCACGTAGGCTCTGACTTGGGTTGACTCAACTACTCTCTTTGGGGCTGAGCTGTGATGTTGACCCTTTTCAACATGATATGTGAACAAGAAAGCAGAAAACAGAGCCATGGTGCTAATAACTTTATGTTGTTTGATTTCTTAAAATGTTGCCCAGTGCAAGCATGGAAACTTAGAAGTAAAGGAACTTGCCCAGTGTTACACAGCTACTAAGTAACAGAGACAGGAACTGAACCGTAACTGGATTTTGCAGATGAGGAAACTAAACTAAAACCATATTGCTGTCTTCAACCACATAGCAAGTGATGGAATTGGCATTTAAACCCAGCAGCCCTGGGTTCCTCTCTGTTACACTCCCTGCCTGGGACCTCTGAAACAGATAATATGGAAATGTTGATTGAGTCCCCCTTATTGCAGGCACCATCCTAGACCTGAAAATACAAAAAAGTCAGACAGGTAGCTCATGCCATCGAGGACCTTACTATCCAGGACAAACAGGGGCTAGCAGTACAGTCAGGTGCTTTGAGAAGATCCAGCCTTGTAGTTGGAGGTAGACACAAAGACCCAGAAAGCTCCCTCAGTCTGGTGACATCTAAACTAAAGCCTGAAGGAGCAATAAGAAAGGTCATGCAGAGAGGTTGAGAGGAGAGTTTTTAAACAGAAATAAGCATGGACTTCTAGCTAAAATGGTCTTTTAGGTTCACACTTAAGTTCTGGGTTCTGCTGCAGTAATACAGTAACAGGAAATGAAACGCATTATAGACATATGTATGTTAAGTACCAGAGGATGGGATTTCAGCACATCTTATTTAGGAATACAGTTCAACCCTGTAATACCACTTTGGCTTTGTTATTACATTCTCTCCACTAGTGTGGTAATAGTGAAAACTGGACACACCTAGTTGGCTTTCACCAGGCGAGTAATGAAACATGCTCATCCAGTTGTGCAACGTAACGCTGCTCAGCAGTAAAACAGGAGCAAATCCTGATACGCGCAGCAACTCAGATGCATTCTCTTGGAGGAAAAAAAAACAACCTGAGAAGTTTGCATACCAAATGATTTTACCTACATCACAATCTCAGAGTGACAAAAGTACAGAGACAGAACTGTTGTGTAGTTGCAGGGCACAAGGGACAGTGTTGGAGAAGAGTGAGACCATGAAATGGTAGTGAAAAGGAGCGCTGTTGATGGGATTCAGTATTCTGGTGGTGGTTACAGAACGCTGTATGGTGTGATCGCGTGTATAGAACAGCACACAAAAATGAATGAGTACACGTACAGACTGGAGAGAACGGAGCGACAGCTGTCATCTTGTTAACAGTGTTGTGCCAGTGTCAGTTTCCCTGGTCTTGATATTGATCTATTATAATTATGAGATAGCTTGCTCATACTTCCTCCCCTCCTTTCCACAAGAGGTTGTATGTGGGCTCCCCCAGACACATACAAGGTCTAACTAGGTAGTTCAGACTGGTCTTAACTCACTGTGGTACCCTGGCTGGCCTTGACTTCAGTGTTCCTCCTGCCTCAGCCTCTCTAGTGCTATGATTATAAGCATGCACCACCGCTCCCAGTTTCATTCTCTTAATGGCAGTTTTGTGAGAAGTTTTAAATGTCATTGAACTTCAGTTTATCAGTGCTTTCTTTCATGAATTGTGCTTTTGGAGTTTTGCCTATAATAAAACTTGCAAAACTATGCAAACTTTTGGAGTTTTATAATTTTGTGCTTACATTTAGGTCTATGATCCTGGCTAGGAGATGGACCACTGGTAACTGTTGCCTGGCATGTCCGAGCACTACACCCCTGGGTGGGTTTTTTCCCTAGCACTATAAACCAATCACTCTGTGATCCACTTTAAGGTAATTTTTAGGGAAATTCAAGATTCCATATAGTTGCAAGTGGACATCTCATTTCTCCAGCGTCATTTTTTGAAAGTCCCATCTTGCCTTTCTGCTGTGTCTAAGATCAGTTGACTGTTTTTCTGTGGATCTATTTCTGGCATACAAGATTCTTAAAAACATTCCTTAATTTATATTTCTCCATTAGATTCCAAAATGAAACAATATCTTTTAAGTAACACCCATTTGTGAGAGAAAAATAAAATTCAGTGAGGTTTTACCCTGTCATGAATTTGAGATATATACCTGCTCTTTACATAAAACCACATTTACTCTACTTCATAGATAATTTAAGGATTTTCCAGAGTAATTTTGACTATCCCCATTTTTTATGGAAGACTTTTGAGTCATACATTATGACTATCTTGTATACCAGAATGGCCCTTCCTTGCCTTCTTCCTTTCAGCTGTCCCTCAGGCATTTAACATAATTTCACTGGTCTCTTATCTACTTAGCTGTTTATCAGGCTACTGATAGGTGAGCTAGTAAAAGCCTGAAGAGTTTGCGGTCCAGAGGTGGAGGAGTAGTGTGCCTTGGAGATATTGCTATGCTCAGAGAATGGAAGTTTCAGGCAACAGAACAGTGCTGTCCAAAAGAAATACTGTATAATGCAAGCTACAAATGTAAGCCCATCTCTGCAACTTTTAAATTTCTAATAATCATAGTTTAAAAAATTAATAAAGGGTGAAATTAATTTTTCTGATACACTTTATTATAGACAAACTATATCATTTCAACACGTAATCAATATGCAGTATTCTTATTTGGTCATAAGTCTTCACTATCTGGTGTTTGTTAGCGATTGAAAGCACAGCTCCTGTGAAGATAGTGGGATTCATTATGACGCCCATTCTGGTTGACTATTATCTACTTTTGAAGACCTATAATGTTTTCAATGTTTTGGTTTTGTTGGTTTCGTTCTTTACTTTTTTGTTCAATTTTATTATAACTGATGATATAGGCAGTTCTATTAGAGATAGCGGGAGGCATTATGGTAACCATTGTTGATCACCTTGTATTATGCTTTTACATTATTATGTCCACCCTTTTGATTTGACTGACTCTGTTCTGTTATGTCACATTTGGTTCTACTCTCTTCCAAAAAATTAATAAGAACTGTGGGAGCAACAAAACCCAAAATACACATTTTGTCATTGTACAAAAGAGAGGAAAAGAAAGTGCTCTAAACGATATAACTGCATGTATATTTAAGTGTATAAGATAGATAATGATATTACTGAGTTTTGTTGGATCATTGAACAGAACTGTTTGCAGTCTCACTGTTGGAATGTCCACTTTATAAGCTTTAATCTTGTAACTTGAACAATTATTTCTAAGATGACAATATGTAATCCATTAATTAGTGATTTCCTACTGTTTATTTTTGTCTGTAAATCTATATAACTTGTACCCTTTCTCTTCTTTTTCTCCTTAAATAAAATTTAAAAAAAAAAAAAGAAAAGAAAGAAAGCACAGCTCCATTCACAGCAGCCACCTGTGGCAAATGGCCACAATACTAGGCCGTGTGACATAGAGCAGGCCATGGTGTAGCAATGCTGTGGCTGTCACCATTCGGTGGTACATCCATTTCATGCTGCTGTAGCCTTGGCTATCAAGAGCTCTTGGGGAATGTTGGTGGAGTTTGTGGATAGTTTGTGGAGGGTTACCTCATTAAGCATCAAACTTCATTTGAATCGTTTTGCATAGAAGTGCTCTAATTATGTAAACATCTTTGTCTGCTGCTTTTTTACTTCCTTCCTATTTTTTAAAATAAAGATGGAGTCTCACTGTTTTGCCCAAGCAGGCCTCAGATTCAGTCTGCTGCTGCTGCTGCCTGCCTCGGCTGCTGGGATTTGAGGCGTGTACCACTACACCCAGTCTGTCTCCTTCAT